TGGTTCTCTGACTATACACGTTGTATTTCTAAGGGAGATGGAATATATCTAAAACCTTATCAGAAAATCATGAAGTAGTTAATTGGAGTTCTGTAACCTCTACACAACCAAGTTGTAAACACTAGTGTCAAAGATGTATTCAACTTCATCATTAATTTAGGAGAGACAAATATAAATGAGAAACATATGATATCCTTAGTTATTGCTTCTTTGTTCACCAATGTGCCAGTCTTACTGAAGCATCAGAATTCATTTGTCAGCAGATATCAAGAAAGTAGATTAATGTTAGATTTTTTCCAGAATTACTTCTACGATACATTTTCTCTTGAATAGTACATATTAGAGACAAACTGAACAAATCTCCATGGGTTCACCACTAGCTCTAATATTAGGTGAGTGTTTTCTTGCTAAACTTGAGATTGGATAGCTGAAAGATGCCAGCGATAATCTGGATGTGTATAAACATTATATTGACAACACTTTCATTGTCTTTCATCCAAGAGTCGACAAACACGAATTGTCTCCTTTATCCTTCACTCACTTTCACTTGTGAAGAAGAACAAGAAATTGCGCTACATTGTTTAGATGTCCTATTGATTGGAGCAGAAGATGGGTCACTCAGTAGGAGAAAGTATAGAAAGATAACATCTACGAGCCAGTACATACATTTCCTTAGCTTTGTGCCCATTCAAGATAAAATAAGCTTAATTAAATGTACTGTTAGTAGAACTAGAAGGATTCGCTCCGATGACTTAAAATGGGTTAACCCCATAATTTTATGAAGAGACACATGGACAAAATGAGTAAGAAATCTGAATAAATGACTGTCCAAAAGAAATCATTATTTATGAAGCTGTCATTTAAAGGGGACACACCTGGGGAACTTTAATTACAGAGGTTGTCTATAGCCATCAGAATAATGTCCTATACTGCTAATCTTTGCTTATCATTTCCTAGTAGGCCGATAATCGTTCCTCAAACTAAAGACATGATCCCTAGTTTCTCCACTTATATGTGTACCTACCAGTTCATCTGCTTCTATGGAGAAATCTACATCTGTTGTATCACTAGGCAGTTTAACAAACATCCTGCTGAATATCTTATCCCCATGTCTAGTGAAACGAGAAGTGAGGCCAATACGAAGTTTAGTTCTGTTACATTTGGTCGACAGCAGTCATGTAATAGACACGACCAAAGCGTTCAAAATCATCTGTGACATTTCAAAAAATCTTTCAAACTGAATTCATATTCACCTGTAAAATATTGCTGAGGATATGGGAATTTCAGAAAATAACACTAATCTTCGTGTACAGAAAACCTTTCTACAATCCTTAGCTATATCTCGACCAGCGATTAGTTAATAAATGGCTGCGAAAATAAACCCGTTTTTTATCCGGTTTTTTTCCTTCAGCATTACGAAAGTTTTACTTCTCTAAGTTTCTACTTATATATATAGTATACATATATATATATATATATATATATATATATATATATATATATATATATATATATATATATATAGTACCATGCTGTCCACATTATTTTTGTGATCACTGAGATGACCATTATTGAGGTAGTATTCAGCACTGACTGATATCAATTAGGGAACTAATGAAAGCCTGGGAGCACTGGACAGCTGTGTCGTCCCAGTATGGAACTCCTCAATAACACGCACCCACGACCCGGTAAGAGATCGGACTCAAAACCAAAAGGTGTTGCTGAGAACCCACTATCCACTCAGTCAGTGAGTTGGAGTCCAACGGTTCACAGTTTCCAACTCCTGTCATTTGGCGATATAGTACGACTACCACCCAAGATCTTCAGTTGGCATCCACTTTCTTTCCACTCACAAGTCACAGCTTCTCATTAAAAATTCGGGACATCTAAATGGAAGCATGTCGCTAATGAGTACTATACAGTAATGTATTTTGAGGTTAATAGGGATTTTAATTTTGAATTAGTACTCATCGTGGACTGACATCAGTTGTAGAACGATTGAAAATCTCAGAGCACTGGACAGCCGTCTCATGCTAGTATGGAACTGCTCAGCAGCTAGCAGAGGAGTAGCGCTGAGTGGCAAACTGGCAGAAATTCGAAACTGTGAACTGCCGTATACCGACTTAGTGACTGGTTGGTTTACGCTTTCCCCGCGAGACCTCAAGGTCCTGAGTTTGATCCCTAGACGGGTCATCAGTGCCTACTGATGAGTCTCATACAAGAGCGAATCACTTGCTCAGTGCTCCCAGGTTTTTAATGGTTCTCCAGCTGACGTTAGTCTGTGGTGAATACTACCTGAAGATTAAAATCTCCATTCATTTCAAAATACATTATTATCATTATTAATATTATCTCCATAAATACTATTTGAATTTGTTATTCATCGTAGACTGACATCAGTTGAAGGAACGAAGGAAACCTGGGAGCACTGGGCAGCTGTTTCGTCCTCAGCAGTGCGCACCCACGACCGCACCAGGGATCGGACCCACGGCCTTCAGTTTCCGCGGCCAGCGCATTACCTTTGAGCCACTGGGTCAGAATCCTATGCTCCATATTTCCAACTTCTGTTAGCTCACTACTTGTGTGCTTTATTTCCTTGTTAGAAACAGGCTGTAGAATTCACCATGACTAGTTTAGCGTTTTATATATGAGAAAATTTATTTACATTAAACTGAAGTCTGACGAGAGCTAACTGAAAACAATATTGTTCTGAGGTTTATTTTATATTTAATATCTCTGCTTTAAAGACTTTTCAGAAAATTTTATATTGGTTTTTAAAAATTCAAAACCTTTCCCTTTCCATTTAACTATCTTAGTTGCAACTCCCTTTATAATTACCGGGTCACTCGATCTCTTTCTAGTAGTTTATCTCTTGCAATGTAGATGTTTCATAATTTTCTGCATTTTCTTTTCTTTCTGAAATATTTTCAGTTTCATAAGTAAGCTACTTGTAAGTAGTACAAAATCCTGTTGACAGTTTTTAGTGGGGATGTTTAGTGCAACATGCTTTAAATTTTTAGTTAAATGACTCTAACCTCGGAAAGTACTACACCATTTGTTTTTAGCAAAGTTAATGAAAAACAAACTCTACAAAGATTATAATAGTGCTAGTATTCATCTTGGTAACTAGCAGTGGAGTCCAGGATGCGTGTTTCGTCTTATTTAGGACTCACTAGTCAACTACATGTACCTGCAATCCAATGAGTGACGTCGCTCCCACCGAAATCTAAACCTAGCACTTAACACTTCAAACACCATGAGAGCTGTCTCTCTTATAGAACATGTGTCAGGTGTTATTTATTGATGAAACATATCTCCAGAATCCCATCACGAGACACCAAATAATCTACATGTCCCAGCCAGCCATCTCAGTCAATGAAGGTTAATAACAGCATCAACTGTTTTACCTCTCCTGCCTAAAACTCTACACCTGACTTCTATGGTTCTCACATCACAAAAGATGGACGTATGAGTGAATTTGTAAGTTTGAATACCACCCTATTTCCATCTTTGTTAGGAATTCTATGTAAAGTCTTTAATGTTCCTTCCTTAATACAATGAAAGCCTTAAACTTGTGTCTATTCGTGTTGCTACTACGATATATAATGATGTTAGCAGTCATTTTTCTAGATGTTCTTACTAATTTCTTCGCAAAATCCGGAGGATAATTATTGCTTAGTATTGTTTCCTCAAAATCTCAATCTGCTTAGGTTTTCAACCTGATCAGCCAGTTTATACCTCTTAAGTAGGCAGCTACAACTATACTAAACACTAGTTCAATTCATCATTTATCAGTTAAGCAACAAAACTGGTAGCTATCAGATACCTGAAAAATTCTAGTGACATCTACTTCTAAGAGTTATGCTGATTCAGTTGAACATGTCATGATGAGGAGAATTAATTCACAAGTTAAAATTTTCAACCTGTAGATTTGGAAGACCTGAAGAGTGACAGTGGATGACATGGATTTGAATTCCAGGTGGGACACCAGTTCTCCAGAGGTTGAAGATACGCCTTACTGACAATTGCTAACAAAAAGCGGAACGTAGGTCCAATGTTTCCTGCCAATTGCCTCCAATCGAATAACATTCAGAGATAACATCTTTACAATCATCACTAAGAGTTACAGATACACCTTAATAGTGATTCCTAACAAACATGACTAAGTAATCCTTCTTGTCAACTGACTATTGGTGTTTAAAACAAAAAACTATACTACAGACATTTCAGAACTGTCATATTTTTAACGTATTTTTTGACAAAAGCTTCAGCCAATCAGATCGAGTAAAGTTGACCTTGAGCGATAAACTTACAATCTCTACAAAAACTTAGATTATCAAAGGTTGCTTAGTTACGAGATTCAAACCGCCAAAATTGATTTTAATGTTTAACACCAACACTAATAATCTTAATGCACAAGATTCTATGGTTGATCAACATCTATTTACAGTAATATGTTAATACATTAAAATAAACACTAGTTAGATTATTCAAAAGAAACAAGAACACAAGAAATGGCTATCGGATTTTATTCAACTTTGTAGAGAACATTTTCCTTCAGAGATAAAAGAAGATCGTAGAGATAAACTACAAGACAAAGAATATCAACTTTTGGAAGATACATTGAAAAACACTGAAATGTCTATTAAAGAGACTAGAAAAAAGTAACTTGTTGTCTATACTTTAATAACTATTAAGAATTAGGAGAATAAAGAAAGAAAATGATCAACTGGAAAAAACTTTATTCAACGTTAGATACTCTTCAACAAATGTATTGAACAAAGTTAAATCGATTATTACTGGGCAACGTTTGTATTACTTAAAAACTCAATATCATGATTTTGGTGTAAATGATGCAACAAATTTAAAACAAATGAAGATATTACGTGATAATTTGTTGGAAACTAAATTAAAACTGGAAACTTCGCTACAAAAGAACTATAAGTTAAAATCTGATATTGTACATTGAAAATGTGTTGTGGTTTTTGTTTTAATTTCCCCAAAAACTTAATCTATATATTTTTTAAAATTATTTTTACAGGTTATGAGTCAAAATAATGTACATATCTTGATGGAGAAGGTTAACTATCATATGAAAGTAAATAAACAGTTGGAAGATTATGTTAAACGTTTACAAGTTTGTTTAAACTCTTGGAAATCAGTAGAAGAACAAGTCCCAACTAAATCTATTGGTGAATGTATTCTTACTGCTTTATACAATCATCTCATCGATATGAATAGAAACAATAGTAAACTTCCATTGGAGAATAATGCGGATACATTGTTTCCACGTGAACAAAATCAGCTGGGAAGTATAAACGATTCAAATATTACTGAAAATGTAATCTGTTCTACATTGTACTCATCTTTTTTTTCGAATTTAGAATGATTTCCTTCAATCTTCGTCTTCTCCATCGAAAAAATGCTCAATAGCAATATCCCATTTCACTCAACTTCTTCATTATGGCCGAAATCAAGAAGCATTTTCACTTGTAAGTAACTATGGAGAAGAGAATGGCTATTTGTTAACTCAATTGTTCAATGCTTGTGAAGGTAATTTTAAAGTATGTGCATAGTTTTTGTTCGATGTACAATATTCAATGACATTGTTATCAAACTGTAAGGATGATAAAATTCAACTCAATGCTATAATTTATGAAACAATGGTAACTTGCTAGTCACAGAACCTGTAGGTCTTGGGTACGATTCATGGTAGGATCACACGTGCGCGTTGCTGAGATGCCCCATACTTGGACGAAATAACTGTACAATACTCATAGATTTCCAATCTCCCTCCAACCGATGTCAGTCCATGATGAATTCCAACCTGAAATCAATTAATAAAACCTCCACAAATCTCTAAATCGAATTAATCTAGCCTCCTTTGGTGATTAGCCTCCAGAGGTGATTCTTGAAGTTCGAATGAGAAGTCATGACCAGGGAAGTCAACGAACTCGAACTAGAGGACAGTTACTCACTGACGACATTGGATGTGGTTCGCGCTATATGGTGAACTGAGAGAAGTAGGAAATATGGACCACTGAATTCTGACCTATTGGCTCAATGGTAACGAGCTGGCCACGGAACCTGAAGGTCCTGCGTTTGATCCCTGGATGAGTTACATACTCGGACGAAACAGCTGTCCAGTGCTCCCAGATTTCCAGTGTTCCTCCAGCTGATGTCAGTCCATGATGAATCCTAGCCTTAAATGTGTGTATTTGTAGATTGTAACAGTGAATAATCGAGTGTCTCTAAAAGTCACCTTAGTAACTCCTAAAATGACTGATGACATAATACAATTTTGGTTAGAATGGCAGTTTTTTCATAAAACAAAGAAACGTAATTAGTCATTTTGGTAGTCGTAAGGGTGATTATCTTAGAGTCACTTGCTTAATCATTCACCAATATGAGTCTAAATGGACCTGAATCTGCTTCTTAGCAAATGTGTGATTGCCAGTGATCATCTCAAAAAAGTACCATAACATTGATAGAATCAAGTGAGTTCCAGCCAGAAAAAAGATTCTAAGATCCACGTTTAGTCCTATTATGGATTTGATGTGACTACGTCGAAGTAGGACGTGGATTCTAATAATAAGCCAACGAGATACTTGGACTGGATACGAGTAAGCAAACTGCTCTCCCCACACCCTATACTGCGCCGCAAAAATCAGAAGAAAAAGGTGGAGCCATAAATGAACCAATCCGATTGGTTGTATGACGTCGAATATGTCCAATTAGGTTATCATGTTAGCACATGCATAAATCATGACCTGAAGACAATTTATTTATTGGCTGCCTTTTTGTAACTACTTATCAGGATTCATAAGGTACAATACTTTATCATTGTCAACAATAATCGATTAGGTTTACAGTCAGCATTAGGATAAATGAATAACATGAGCATATTTTAACACAGACTGGTTAATTAACTCCACTAAACAATTACAGTGAATGGATTTTGATTCCTTTTCATGAGTCGAATAAACAGACATAAACGACTGTATAGTGATCCAAGTAAATTGCATGCACACGTGATCATAAACGGAGATTAGTTTACACCATCTATTATTATTATTATTATCGTTATTATTATAAGTTATCCTTCGGGCTCCTAGTGGAACATAGCACGTAGCACAGTAGCATGTCGCCATTTCACTCTCTTCTCTCCAGTCTTTTCAACCTGCCTCCACCACTGCCCACAACATTTCATTTCTTCATCACACACTCTCCTCCATGTCACCCTGGCATGCCCAACTCGTCGTCTCCCCTTTGGCTTCCACTCAACGGCCTAACCTGGCACGTGATATCTGCAATCAGCCTTCTCAGTGTATGCCCAATCCAATCCATCTCCACTATCTTCTCCTACATATTTGTTAGGTGATAGGTTCTTGGTTGGTTCTTTGCAGACCAGAGTTCCTTGTTGCTTAGTCTTACTATTCTGGACATTTGATCTTCAGTATCGAGCCAGCGTAGGCAGCTATTGATGACATATGTCCGCTGTTTGTTGGAAATGCTTTTCTTAACGCGCCAAGTCTCTCAACTATTACATGGAAGTAATGACTTACTTGACATTAGTGTTGAAAATCCGGATGTTTCTCACGCTTTATGCTGAGTGCAGTGCAGTATATCTCCACACTGATTATTTCACATTAATGCAGGAAGACCTGTTTTGCTGTCTTTCCGATCCCGGCTTTGACATCCTCATCTGTGCCGCCCCTGTCTCCTGTAGTTGGAACGATGCTTCCTAGGTAGGTAGGTGGAAGAGACAACTTCCTTTAGATTTCTCTCGTTGATGGTGATTGGTGCTTGTTGTTGTTGGTTGGGTATCTTCATCACTTCTGTCTTCTCTACATTCATCTGAACGCAACAACAGACATCCTACCGCACTTGACTAACTATGTTTAATAAATACGGCGCTATATGAGTACACTATGACCTCAATCCCCACGATACCACTACAACTAAATGTACGTACCTCAGTGAGTCTTAAACTGCACCTACGTTTTTATCTAACAGGATAACGTGTGCGAACCGTTCAAACCGTCATATGAAGGGTCTTTCAAAGTAATTGATTGATCAGAAAAAGTTATCACTGTCGAACGCATTGATAGGATCAAACCAGAGTTCATTGAACTAAATGTCACTCATTCCAAGTCTGAATCCACAGTAAACCACCTCGAAGCATCAAAAGCCGCCTTCAGAATTGAAAAAATGACATCGGAATTGTCGACAGCTAGACACAGTAACAAAAGCACAAGATTTGGAAGTGTGTTGGTCACAATGTTACGTTCAGACAAATTACTTCTGATCACACTAATGCACTAGTAGAGGTATTACTCTTTTGTTCATTGCTTCGCCGATTACACACAGAATCACACTTCTATGGTTTCGTTAAATTTTGCCAAAAATATATTCCTATAGCCTCACGGAGTTCCGAAACTTTCCTTTTAATTCCAAACTAACAGTTTTCAATAACATTCTGGATATTATGATTTTGACTTTCTTTTTACTTCACGATACATTATTAGTGTGGAAAGTAGTTACCCCCCCCCCCCTACGTATTTTGAGTGCTTGTTGATAAGGTTTTCTTGGTACCCACTCATCATTAGCACGTTTTTAAAAGTGACCATTTCGTAGTCGAGTGTGCTGTCGGAACAAATTTTCCTGGCTCTGTTAAACAGAGTTCTGACTACATCCACTTTGTGCTGGGTCGGGACAAAGCTCCTAAAATGAAGGTATTGTTCTGTCCGTGAAGGTTTCTTATAGATGTTCTTGTGCATTATTTAATGGTACATATAATCAAGTATGTAGAATAATACTACTATGTAGAGAGTATGACTGAAATTTATGTATTCACTAAATCCTGGATAGTTGGGAAAATATGGCTTTACAAACGCCTAATCCTGCACCAAAAATATGGTGGCGATATGTGGATCGCACATTCACTGTGCTGAAATCGGAACAAATAGACATTTTTCTCACACATATAAACTCAGTAGTAGGCGCAATTCAATTCACTTACGAAGTAGAAAATGAACAAGGAGAATTACCTATGTTGGATTGCAGGATAAAACGAACGATAAACCATGGTTTGGACACTACCATCTACAGAAAACCAAAACATTCTAGCAGGTATCTAGACTTCAAGTCATCTCATCCAATGTCAGTTAAGGTAGACTCAGTCAAATGTCTTAATGATACAGCCAGAAAACTGACTAGTCAATTCAAGGACTTAAACAACGAATCGAAGTATATAAAAGAAGCACTAACAGTTGATAATTATCCTCTGCAGTTTATCAAGAAATTCATACAAACACACAAGAAACGAAATAATAACAGTAACTGGAGAACCAATAATAACGACAACAAGTGAAGAAAAGAGTTCACAACCTCCATTGTGGTACCCTATAAGGAAGGTGCATCAGAAATTTCACGTAGGATCCTGAACAAACCTGGAATTAGGGTGATATTTAAACCTGCAAACTCATTCAGAGAGATAAGCTTTGTCGGTAGGCTCAAGGATCGGATAGAACCAATTAAACGAAAAAATCTAATCTATCGAATCCCATGTTATGACTGTGAGGTCAAGTACATAGGTGAAACTAGCCGATCGGCGTCAGTTAGAATAGCTGAACATGGGAATTTAGCCCAATTTAGAATGACAGACCCGAATAAGATCAATAATCTGGAAAAGCACTCGATTATTGCAATGTATGCATTAACACACAATCACATAATAGGCTGGAAAGGATAAAGCCTCTGTACTCAAGTCCAATATAATTAGGTGAAGAGAGAGAGAGAATGATTGATAACTGAATCTTTGTCCATCGAATCAACACCCTACCCAACATATGTAATGGGAATGACGCAACACCCATACCAGAGATGTGGGAAATTTTATTGCCAATAAAAACAATGAATATGAGGTGTGTGACAAGACTATAAAAATCAGATGTTGAAAGTAATATAACTACATTGATATGATTACGAGCATGATGATTTATGCTCGAAACATCATCATCTAGTAAATGACACTGTATAACTGTGTGTTAAAAATCAAATAAATAAGTCATTATGGAATTAAATCCTGTCCCGATTGGTTAGGTAATCCAGCCTTTCATTCCGCTGAGTGTTTTAGGTGGGGACTTTAAAGGCTACCCTAGCAACTGACTAGACAGCCAATTACATTCCTTTATTTTAAGGGAAAGCGCAATCCTAGGCGAAATAGCGTAGCCTGATTGGTCATTTCCGGGGTGACCTTAAAGGCTACCCTAGCAACAACTCAGATGACTAATACGGCTTTGGTATCTCGCCTGGAAAAATGCTTTCTATAGAATGAAGAAAAATAATTGAATGTCTCATCGGTCACTAGGGTGGCCTTTCAAAGTCACTCTTACAGTCGCCGAAATGGAGTGACTTTAAAAGCCACTTTAACAACAACCAAATTAACCAATCAGATTTCTGAATTTTATGAAAATCTACCTTTCTAGCAGAAATGCAGAAACTTAAGCGGTTATTTCACTTGTTCTTAGGATGTCCATCATAGTCACTCGACTTCAAGAGAGACTTTAAGGGCCACCTTAGAAACTGCCGAGATAACCAATTACATTCCTGTATCGTGTGGGAAACTGCCTATTCCGCTGAAATTCTGAAACTTGATAGTCTATCTTGGCAGTTGCTAGAGTGTTCATTAAAGTCGTCCAATTAGGATTCAATATGGTGTAAAATGCCTCAGCTGTTCTCCCTTCTTTGTAGCTTGAAAAACTTTTTTGAATAATTTTAATATGTTCAATATCGATTTTGTGACTGCGGGTAGATGGCATAAACCATAACTACCGAACTGGTTTATAAATTCTCTAGTTCTACAGGATTACTTGGTTAAATAAGCGTCCGAAATTTAATTTCCCTACCTACCGATAGAATCACTTTGTTGATATAAAATCTTTCCTTGAATCTGTTATAAATTGAAAATTGTTTGACTAAAAATCATTTTAGCTCATGTACTTTTAAGTTATTAGTAAAAAATGGATAGAATTCCATATTAGTATTTTGAATGTTTATTTTTACCTGATGATGCTTCTAGCATAAATTATAGCTCATTATCATATCAAAGTAATCACACAATTTTCAACAGCCAGTCTTTATAGTCCCATCATCTGGTGTTTCTTTACTTTCTGCGTAAGACAGTTCTACACATCTCCAGTAGACATGTTACATTTGACTTTTGGTTGGTTCGATGAACACAGATTCGCTAACCAATTGCACTCTCCACCTAATCATATTCGACTTCAGTATCGCTGCTTTTTTCTACTTCAATGAATCCTTGTGCCACTGTATGCATTGCAATAGCCCACTTTTTCCCAAATTATTCATCCCAATGCGATCTGTCACTCAACATTGGTATAAATTCCGATTCTGCAGTAACCTCACTGATTTTAATTGGCGGGCTTCACATATATATTTGAGCCATAGCATGGTATTTGATAGATCAAATTAATTTGTCCTACTAGGTCGAAAGGATTCATAGGCTGAGAAGTTGTATGTTTGAATTCTGCCTTAACTTAACCTTAATCAGAATTTCTCGTAAAGTCCCTTATACTGCTTTGTTTTATACAGTAAGGTAATTGAAGAGCTGAGGTATTTTGCATTTGTGTTACAGTTACAAAAGTGCATCTTATGAATTTTGAAAGCAAGGTCTGATTATGACATCTCTCAGAAATGCACACTCGTGATGGTATCTTTCCTGGAATGATTATCTTAGCTAAGAAGTTTTACTTACTAATCTCATTTCTTTTACGTCCTAATGAGACATAGAAGGAAATTAACAGGATCTCAATATTTGTTGATATCCTTGTAATTCTATGTTGTTCTACTAGATCGAATTGTTTAACCAAGTGGCCTAGTGGATAATACCTAGCTGTTTGAAGCAATGGTTAAGAGGTCCGAGTCTCAATGTGAACAACATCACTCAATAGGATGGATGTACATCCAATTGAAGAGTCTCAAATAGGACGAAATGTGTATCCTGGATTCCTCTGCTAACCACAACCAAGTAGATCGTTGCAGTAGACTCAAAGATTCAATTCAACGGAGTTCCAAGACGCGCGTTTCGTCCTGTTTAGAACTCGTCAGCAGGATACGCCTGCATTCCACTTGCTGATGGTTTTCACATTTAGACTCGTCCTAAATTCAACTGCTAGCCAACAAGGACAAAACTACTAGGGAGTGAATCTTCAGGTGATATCGAGGCATCCACACGGCAGCCTATATACCAGCAGAGGTCGGTCAATTCAACCTAGCGTAACAACGAGATATTACAAGTTTCAGCCCGTGTCTACTTATAAGTAGTTTAAATTAATTCACAAAATATTACCTAAACAATTCCAATAATATTCTAGAGATTTCAGCTCATTCTTTTCATTTCTGCAGTCATCAGCAGGAATCAAAGACAAAGTGATATATTACAGCAATTTGTAGTGAATATTTTTCAAAAAGATATTGAAACTACTGATGACAATAACACTGGACAGAACCAAGCAAATTTCACATTCAACTTCTTAAAACGATGTATCCCTGTTCTATTAGAAAATGGATATGATAATTTATTAATGAAATGGATGAAAAGAAACATGTAAGCTGGAAGTTTTCAAACTATAAATATTGATAAAAATACTACTCACTAATACTACTAGTCAAGATACTTATACCATCATAATCGGTATATCTACCGGTGCTACACGTATCTGTATGATTGCCGAGCAATCCAACTCGTATTTAGTATAAGATTATAAACATACAGATCAAAGTTGTTAGGAATGTCCTAGAAGTTGAGCACCAACTGCGATTGAATCATTATAAGAATATATGCTGATATAATCCCACCGTGTTTAGAAAATCAAAACAAGATACTTCTGAACGAGTCGCTGTGTAAGCTACATATGCTTCAGGAGATTTTTATTAACATCATGGACCTCGTAGCTCAGTTGGTGAAGTATCGGGTTGGAAACTTGGTGGTCCCTGGTTTGACTCCGATAGAGGTCAAAATTTTCATTTCACTTCCAATCACCACCCAGTATATAACTAAATGATACATCAAATAGTCACTGGTTAGATGGTTTTTCTGTCCAACCTGAGTAATTAAGACTAGTCATTACAAGTTCATGCTTGTTTTTGTCATTTGTCAACGAATATGTAAGATAATCAAAGTGCGTGTATGTGTTAATGTGTGTTGTAGAATGCATGTTGTTTCTTGTATACTTATTTGAGAACCGTCAATAATTGTCATTGTTATTCTAGCTCCAATTACAAAAGATCATCACTAATGGTCTTATCGGATTAATGTTTGCCAAATAGGCGACAAATCTGTTCTTTCTTTGTTAAAATATACACAGCTTCGGAAGTCAATCTTTCCTTATGCAAATGGAAGACTTTTCCAGATATGTCTACCAACGTTCTCAAAGCCCCATCAAATGTCAACTTTCGATTACATCCATAGCTACTGCTGATCGCTTTTCTAATTTTTCTAATTTATCTTGATTCTTCGGTCGATGTTCCTCACATACCTTATGTTCCTTCACCCTAATGTTTAAGGATCTACAACTTTCTCCAACATAAACAGCTTCACATTCCAAATATTTAATTAGGTAGATTTAAAGTAGTGGAAACTATTTGTAGCTCACGTGGAGGGTCTTGGTTGTATTGTGTTCTCTGAGCTGGGTTGTTTAATCATGAAGCTTTCATCTTCTTTCTACACGACATCATCACCACTAACTTCAGTATAAAGTGACCTGTCAATATCTCTCCATCAGTGAGTGATTTAGTAGCTTGCCTTGACAATGTGGTCTGTGATTGGTTGTCTCCTTCGATTGTTGTGACATTGACTACATACACCTTCCTGTCGGCTGTTGGTTGTTACTCTGCTTCATCTCTCACCTTCCTGTCGTCTATCATTCTTCTTATTGGTTGATAGATTGCGTCTGTCTGTACATCAACTGATTGCTGACTGACTGACTGACTGCCTGACTAACTGACTGACTGACTGACCTGAATGCCCAACCTCTAGGAATTCTCTGATATTCTTCGTCTTCCCTCTGTTCACAATCTCTACATCATAGAAATTGAATCCACGTCCATAGTTGTTATCCACATGCATTGAAATGAGTGATGAAATGTCGTGTGTGACGTTTCATAGCCAATCGGTGTTCATGTGAATGACAAAGGCGAAGAGGGTGACCACCCTGTCCAACGTAGTGTTGACCACAGTTATTGCAGTTGATTTCGTAAATGATATTCAGTTCGTCTTATTTGCTTGTTCTTGATTCCTTTGGTCTCCACAATAGTGTTTGTAGGGAATTTGTTGGTTTATCAGCCACACCAATTCCAAATGATCTCAGTAATCTTGTCATGATTTCTCATATATACACATTCTTTACGTATGGTAGGATGATGCGTTTATTGATTTGTGTCGATGACTGAAGTTGATGATGTTGGGGGATAGGCATCTTCTGATGAGGTTTCGTGGGTAGCCGTTCTTCTTTGGGATGGACATCAAGTAATTTTCTTCCTTTCTGCTTGAAGTTGATGTACTGCAGTGCAGTGTGTTCTCACTCTTCTCAATAGAGTCTGCATGCAACTGATCTTGTGGGTTGTTGGGTTGTTGCAACAGTAGTTGAGGATTTGATGAGTGTGTGTTGGCTTCCTGTACACTTGGATTTCCAGCTTTTCGACATTTGTTCTACTGACTAGAACATCTAGGAATGGTAGTTGGTTGTTTGGCTCCTTCTCCATTGTAAATTTGATGTCACTCAGAACGTTGTTGATCAAACTGTGAGTGTTTTCTCTATCATCTTTTTGAGTGATGACAAAAGTGTCATAAAAGTAGCGAATCCAGAATTTTGGTTTGATCATAGTAAATTGCCAACTTAAAAGACAGTAAAAATAACTTTGCAAGTAGCCAACAAGGCTGAGGCGAACCAATTAGTTATTAACGATTTATATTTAGATATCGGAATTTATTGGAAGATCTTGATAACTATTTACAACCAATATGACCCTTAAGGCTTCACATGTTAAGATAATACTTGTTATGAAGCATCAAAAACTCCACATTTGGATATTCCGCCTATTTGTGCCGAAATATCTTCAGTATTCAGCTTCCTATGATTTTTATGAACCCGTTAGGAAATGAAGTCATCAGCTTTCCTAACGAAATTACTCAGTATAGACCAGCCTTAAGGTAAAGTTATGCTTTTTGAAAGTGAAAAGTTATCCTATAGTCACTCAAGGAGTTGATGTACCAGCAACTTTTGATATTTTATTATTATTATTATTATTATTATTATTATTACTATATGTCCCACGGGTTACGAATGGAATGTACGGCTTCAGTAGCACGTCTCCACTCCACTCTCTTCTCTGAAATCTTTTGAACCTGGCTCCACCACAGCCCACAAGCTCTCATTTCTTCCTCACACCATCTCCTCCATGTCACTCACTCTCGGCACCGATGCCCAACTCGTCGCTTCCCATCGGGGTTCCACTCGACGGCCTGGCCTGACGCGTGATGTCCCCAGTCGGCATTCGCAGTGTATGCCCAATCCACCTCCACTTCCTTCCACTGCATATTTGTTGAGCAAGCGATAGGTTCTTGGTTGGTTCGTTATCAGCCACAGTTTCTTGTTGCTTATTCTTATTATTCTGGCCATATGATCTTCAGTAACAAGCCAGCATAGGCAGTTGTTGATGAGTGTCTGTAGTTTATTGGAAATCCCTTTCGTAACGCGCCAAATCTCTGAGCCATACAGAAGCACTGATTTGATGTTGGTGTTGAAAATCCGGATGTTGTTCCACATTCTGAGTGGAGTGCAGAAGATCTCCACAGTGGTTTGAGGCTAATGAACGCCTGTCTTGCTGTCTTCCCGATCCTGGCTGCTTTGATATCCTCGTCTGTGCCACCTCCTGTAGTTGAAACAGTGCTTCCTAGACAGGTGAAGGAGGCCTCTTTCTTTTAAGTTTCTCCCATTGATGGTGATTGGAGCTTTCTGTTGTTGGTTAGGTATCATCATCACCTCCGTCTTCTCCACGTTTACCTTGCCTGGTTAACTAGTTCACTAGTTACTAGGCGGTCCTAAGCCTGGGTAAAGAGGGAAGGTTGGGCATAGGACTAACAACCCTACCCTGTAAAACCAATCCAATCGCTAAAGAAACTTCGAAGAAAGGAATACCTGATTCCAATTCCTTCTCTAGAGGTGAACTCCAACGCTAGGTGTCAATTGTGGAACGCATTTAAGATGTCATTCAGATTTATATCTGAATCATAAATAACAAATATATAATCTATGTGTCTTTTTTAGATGGCGAAACGATGAACAGTTAGGCTAACATTAGAATTCCCCAATTTTCACATGTACATTTACCTGACCAAATCTATTTTTTCGAGTCTTTTAAAGGTAACTTCAATTTATTTTCAACAGTTTAACGTATGAATAATCATATTCTCTCTCTCACTCTCTTGTTTTATGCTTTATAGTTCAATGATCAATGAAGCAGTAGCAGATACTATATTTAAATCACATCCCTCCAATATTTATATCATAGAACATTGTAGTTATATATATGAGAAACTCAGTGAAAATATATTGAATAAAATAACAAAATCTGGTAATGATAAAAACAAAATTGGAATGAAACTCCTAGAAACATTGACACGATGTCGGACTAAATGTTTACATTGTCTACTGATAGTTAGAAAGATTAATCATCTTCTAAAATTGTTGGATATCTGGGGATTGAGAAGTAAAGGTGAGCTGATTTATTTTGAAACTAACGTTCATTCCATTTAGAATACTGTAAATAACTATCCTGCCGGTTATAAATGCATTCAGAATACAAATTGGACATCCTGTTTCAGATGTTATGGTATTGATTTCATGCTCTCAAATAGATAAGGTTCATTGACTTACTATACTCATAAATCTTTACTCATTATCGCATATAGAATCGATGCTGTCCAAAAAGATGCCCAGCTTCCAGCATCTGTAATTAGACTAAGCCAAACACTGAACTATAGTTTCTTTTATTCTATATGGAGGTTTGTGGAGATTCATTAATTGATTTCAGGTTGGAATTCATCATGGAATGATATCAGTTGGAGGAACACTGGAAACCTAGGAGTACTAGATAGATGTTTCGCCCTAGTATGGGACTGGCCGTGGAACCTGAAGGTCTTAGGTTCGATTTCTGGTAGGATCACACGTGCGCGTTGCTGAGATGCCCCATACTTGGACGAAATAACTGTACAATACTCATAGGTTTCCAATCTCCCTCTAACTGATGTCAGTCCATGATGAATTCCAACCTGAAATCAATTAATAAAACCTCCACAAATCTCTAGATCAAATTAGTCTAGCCTCCTTTGGTGATTAGCCTCCAGAGGTGATTCCTGAAGTTCGAATGAGAAGTCATGACCACGCGAGTCAACGAACTCGAACTAGAGGACAGTTACTCACTGACGACATTGGATGTGGTTCGCGCTATATGGTGAACTGAGAGAAGTAGGAAATATGGACCACTGAATTCTGACCTATTGGCTCAATGGTAACGTGCTGGCCACGGAACCTGAAGGTCCTGCTTTTGATCCCTGGATGAGTCACATACTCGGACGAAACAGCTGTCCAGTGCTTCAAGTTTCTAATTTTTCTTTAACTTATGTCACTCTATGATGGATTCCAACTTAAAACCATTAGTTTGTTTTGCTTAGTACTAAAGTTGCTAACTGTTCGTCTGAACACATTCATTTCACAGAACAGAGTCGTTCAAATAACTCGGCTCTGAAAAGTTATTTTGAACAAGGCGAAAATTTCCATTTAGACATTTAGTAAAACAAACAATGTGAACGAAGAAATATTTCTTTTCAATTAGTTCCTCATCAATGGCTCCACACTAATATAGCATCTTCAAACGTAAAATTACATACCAATCTAGTGATGAGAGTTGTTTAATGAAAGGTTATCAATCTCAAAGTATCAAGAAGGTGATATTGATCAGGTAATTAGGACAGTTAACTAAAGCATAAATTAATTATAGTAGAAGGATTCCGTGAAATTTTAAACAGGTTCTTACATATAGTATTGGTGGACAGTGGCTATCAGTGGAATCCACTAGGTTCTTACATAATTGATATTTTGTCTAATGGTAACTAAAGCGCGAAAATGAACTGTTACGTAAAGTGGTAAATTGTTGACGGTAATTAGAGACAGTAGGGGGAGAAGAAGATGTCTAAATCTGTAATAATAATGATAATAATAACAATAATAGAGCTATCAAAATATTGGTTATGATCAATTGTGTTATGAATGAAATGAAGAGTCTTGTAATAAATAAGCTATACAGATGGCCAAGGCGAAGAAAGAGGCTGTACGAATTTCTTCTGAACACACAGACTTGGCTTGTGTAGGTGGATTCCTATGGCTTCTGCTGTATGTAAAAGACGAACTCGTAGAGCATGGGTGAGGTGAGAAGGAATGTGATAAATAACCTTCAAAGCATTATGAATGTTGACTCGTTGGCCTGTGTCAATCAGATGAGAGAGTATTGAGCTTCGTATCTATCTGGTTTGTCCCTTACTTAGTCATGAATGATGATGCTCGGCGATTCAACGATGGACTTGCCTACCTGTACATCGAATGTAACTAGCTCCACAGGAACAGTTGAAGTGGTAAATGCACATAGAAGAGGAAAAGTCAGGTAGTCTGTCTTTATTTCGCGCTGTCATCATCGGCCGACTGTAGAATATACAGCATAACTTTGCGGCATTAAATGGTCGTCTTGTAGAACTTCTTAGGCTCTGTGTCACAACTTCACTGATGATATCACCTCGAAGTTGTAGTCTTAGGAATAGTAGTTTCTTGGAGACTGTAGCTATTCTGGTTTTCATATTAGATGTGTCCATATTTTAAGACAGAAACGTTTCTGGATATTTATTACTACTGAGTAGATCATAGATAATTTGAGGGTTTTCGTCAAAAGTATCATTCTAGCAGATGAGTCTAGCCCAATGGACCAAACATTTAACTAGATTTCGTTTATACTGTAATATAAGCGTGTTAGAACAGAACTCACATATCAACTTTGTAATAGTTAACAGTCTCATTTCAATCATTTAATTAACGCTGGAAAATGTTCTTGTCTTCAATATTCTTTACTTTATTTAAATTGTAATGATAACACAATTGGAAATGTTGTGAAGTAGTATACATATACACATATATTCTGTTGTGAAGTCGTAGTCAGTAGTAATCTCATCACTGATGAGAACTCATTAAAAAGAATATTTTCCGTTCATTAAATGAAACCTGTTTTTGTCCATTTATTTCTCTAGATACTGAAATTTCTCTTGAGTATTCAGAGAAAGAATTATTTCAATTATTATTGAAATGCAACTGCCCCTATTCAGCCTATATTTTCTATAATCTTTTAAAAAATGGAAAAATATTGTGGAAATCATTTGGTTCTTTATTAGAGGAACAAATAGAGAACAATGGAAACAATCATTGTCATGGAAATATAAGAGTTACAGTACTACTGGGTGATATTCTGGATATATTACTCAAAGAAGTTGAAATTCAAGGTAACCTCGTTGAAACCTCATTGAATATAACTTAAAGGTGTTTGGTTCATTACCGAGCTACATGACTCATTGATTTCTTGAATTGGCTAGTCAAACGAGAGTGATCTAAACAAGGGACAGTCGTTTCACTTGGATGGGACCTAGCTCATCAGCTCACACAACCCAGTTGCTTATATTTACAGAATCTGCCTGACTTGAAAGGACCGATATACTTTAAATAGGATAGTAAATTTTGCAAATGATTTACAAGTTACACAGTCCTCATCTGAGTAACTTTTCAGTTGCCAAACTTTGATATCCGTAGAGAATCCGCTGAAAATCACACAGTCAAGATCTCAAGATCAAGTCTTTGACAGAAAAAAGTCATAAACTAACAAAATATACTACTGATAGAATAGAACAGGAAAACATATTGATAACACCTTTTGATAACTAGGTAAAAGTGGAAACTTGAGAAAACTTAACTCATGTATGGTTTCCTGAAGACAGGGTACTTATAAATTTCTTCTAAATCCAACCGTTTAAACTTTTTTAACAACAGACTAGTTTTGAAGCTATACAGAGGATGATTTTGATGGCTTTGATCAAAGTGATCAGATGGAATATTGAAATTCATACACTCTGTTATTTCAATTTGGTGGTTTGAGAGGATTTATTGATTTCAAGATGGTATTCATCATGGACTGACATCAGTTAGAGAAACATTGTAAATCTGGGAGCAATGGACAGCTGTTTCGATATACTATGGACTCCCCAGCAGTGTGCACCCAAAACACCCCACTGGGGGTCAGGCATAGGACCTTCAGGTCCCACGGCAAACATACTACCACTGACCCACTGGGTTGGAATCCAACGGCTGATACTTCCAACTCTTGTCAGTTTGCTACATAGCGCGACCATCACCTAATGCTATCATCGAGTATTTATCCTCACGTCCACGGAACCTGGAGGTCCTAGGTTGTATTCCCTGATGAGGTAATGGTTGCGCACTCCTTCTTTTGTCTGTAATAGCAAATAGTCCCCCAAAATCAATTGAAGAGATTGACCACATGTTGAGCTTCACATTTTTACTGGAGTTGTTCGGCTGAAGTCACACAGTCAAGCATCTATATCATTTGGTACGTTGACGTCCTACTTTGCTTTGCTCGTACCAGATCTTCTAGCCAGTTAATCAGAATGCATTGATATTTTGGCACGGTCTATTAAATATACTATTCCATCTGACTGCTATATCTGTGTTCCTTCTTGGTCTCACATTTATGGGGATATAACAAATACGACTAACCAGTAATTGATAGTTGTGTCTGTCAAGTTCGCAGAAGATCAATTCCTAAGTGTTCCAACATATGTCATTCTTCATTTAAGTTGAATATGCTACAGTATAGACATTTGAACACAGAAATTACTGCTGACCCTCTCAAACTGTTCATTCTCAAATGCAGCGCTTTATTACTGTTATTTATTATTCCTCGCTTGACTGTTTCTGGATTTCTTGAAAGCAGCTAATGTTTTTATAAGAAATTCATTCATTCATAAGTTTACATTTAGTTGTTTAATTTTATTCCGTGTAGTGCTTAACTTCCTGATAATCCTGTGAATTTATTCCTTATTCCTTCCTTCCTTATTCCTTATTCCTTATTTATTCCTTATTCCTTTAGTGGCATATTCTTCTATGGCCTTTTTGATTTTGTCAGTAGATACTGGAATAATACTGTATCCCTGTATGTTATAAATCAAATTTTAAAAATCTTACATTAAAACGACAGCATATTGTACACCTTGAACAATTTGACTATAATAAGGGAGGGAGGGAGGAGGGAGGATCATTGGAAACCTAAAAGCACTGGGCAGCCGTTTTGTCCTGGGATGGGACTTCTCAGTAGTGCGCACCCAAAACCCACCAGGAATCGATCCAAGGACATTCAGGTTACTCGGTCAAAATTCAGTGCTCCATATTTCCTACTTCTGTCAGTTCACGAAATAGCGCAACCTACATCCAATGTCATCATTGAGTAACTGACCTCATGTTCCACTTGGTTAACTCCATTGGTCATGACTTTTGTTTGGAATTTCGGAAATCACGTCTCGAAGCTGGTCACCAGTGAACGCACTGTTGGGAAGTTCCATAGTACGACGATATAGCTGTTCAGTGCTCCTAGATTTTCAACGTTTCTTCAACTTATGTCATTACATGATGAATTCCAAGCAAAAATCAAATTTCAGATTAGTTGAAGTGATACAAATCAGTATGATGTAAAAATTTAGAAAGACTTGGCTGTAGCCAAGGTCATTGTAAATACATATAAGTCATTGTATTGCCCTTTTATATTTATCCAGTAAATTAAGCTACCATCAAGGGGTGACTTTAAAGACTGCTGTTGAATAGACCAATCAAGAAGTTACTTCTGCTGTCTAAATACTTTTCTATAAAAAAGAGGAATGTAACTGGCTACCGTATCAGTTGCTAGGGTGGCCTTTAAAGTCACCCCTATCATGAAGTGGAATATGAAAGTTATTGTTCAAGCGTCCGTAAATACATATGACTTAGATTATATCAAGCAGTTACTACAAGAATAATAATAAGTGACAGTAGGTTACAACAAGTAACGACTGGGGTTATAAGAATGTTATATGATCATCAAACTATGCAAAAATTATAAAAAATACTGACCCTCTTCCTGAGGTTCAAAAATGTATTTTATTAATAATAGTTCACTTTATTCCAAACAATTTTTAGTACAGTTTGGAGTTCTCAGCATGATATATTACAACAACAATGAAATCGATGTACGTGTGTATACTCCTTTACAACATTTCCAATTGTGTTATCATTACAATTTAAATAAAGTAAAGAATATTAAAGACGAGAACATTTTCCAGTGTTAATTAAAATGAATGAAATGAGACTGTTTACTATTACAAAGTGGATATGTGAGTTCTGTTCTAACACGCTTCTCCTCACATAATATACCTGCTAGGTAAGGTGCAGCCGAATTCTTGTACTTAGCTGTACTAGTTTACAGTTTGATGTAGTTTCTTCTTGTTCTCCGTGACAAGATACATGGAGAAAGCTGTGAATGAAGTGAAGGCTCAGTGTCAATTAAGATGACTGTAGTTAGTTGCTTGCTGGAATTCAAATGTCCATCAACTACAGTGTTAATCAGGTGAACCAAAGACACACCACTCACCCTGTTGACAGCTTTCAAAGACCTACGCAACATAACACAGTCCTTATTCAGTAGACCAGAAAAGACCAACGGGGAACAATATAGAAGAGAATAGATAAAATGCAGGAAGAAGAGGTTGATTTATACCAGACAGACGACTCAGTTTCTTTATGTAATACGTTAAACGAAAGATTTTCCAATAAGTCAACAATATATGAGATGGCCAACAGATATCAGAAGTAAAATCCAATGCAACATAGTTAACAGTTGATTTACTTTCTGTACAACTACCATCAATGGAACAGGTATCATGAGACTTAAGCAGCTCACATAAATCTTGTTTACACCTGAAGATAAAATCAGCAGTCTGACATTTAGAAGGGTTAACCTGAGACCATTGGTCAATAAGAGACCAGAGTGCCTTTATTTCAGAGAAATCTAAGTGAGGGTTAACTGTCAGTTCATCAGCATACTTAATAAAACTAGTTTGAAGAGAATAAGGTAAATCGTGCAAAAGGAACGAAGACAGAAGCGGAGAAACTACAGCGCCATGATGTACACCAACTTCAGTAATCGATGAAGTGGAGCGCTTCCCTTTATAGACAATGTAATGTTCATTTTAAACCTTTTGTTTTAAGTTGCAGCATACAACCTTACAAAAAATGCTTCTTCTATGATTTTGATAAGCCTAAAGTCTAAATAAAACACTAACTGGTAAAGATTTTGAAACAAATTAAATTCAACAATTTTTACAACCAAATGATTATTCAAATCAATACTTAACTTCTTCCTTATTTTCATTTATAGATCATCATAAAATTCTAGAAATGACTGTTCAAAAATTGGAAATTAAATCTCTTTCATTTTGGAAGTATTTACTTGAAAACAATCCATCAGAATTTCGAGATGTATGCAAGATATGTGAAGCATTTGAAGTATTGAAAGTGAGATATCTACATATTCGTAGAATGGTTCATTTAGTTCAACTGGCTACTGCTGGCTTATTGGCAATTGAATCTGTGCATTATTGAAAGTTAGATCTATTCAACTTCGTTGTTGTTAACCAATAACAAGCAATTGGTATTACCTTGTATGTGTATGTTTTGTCAGGAATTATTTCTCTCGCCCATAAAATCAGTCAATTAAAAAAAATTGCTTATAATCATTTAAGATTTTTAATATATACTGTAGGGTTCGTCTGAAATCCTTTGTTGACACTTTGTTGGTGGCTACAGATGGTGATCTTTCAACAAACCCCGTTTCTAGACCACTTTTGTTATCTAAGCTTACCAGAGCTCCTACTGATCCATGCATTACAAAGTTACTGTACTATTATTTTTCTGTAAGGAAACAGTATACTGTTGATAAAGGAAAGGGCTCCACTTCAATGCTTAATGAAGCTGGTATACCTCAGGGTGCAGTATTTTCTCCGTTTCTGTCTTCGTTCTTTTCGCACAACTTACCTTATTCTCTTCAAACTAATTTTATTAAGTATGCTGATGAACTGACAGTGTATAGTGTAGCGTCACATACTTCTGCAGAATCAGTTGCATAGCGTTCGAAGAGATTCAACATTGATGCTGACCTTAGTAGTTTTATCTAAGGCGAACGGTCAAGCATCCATGCCATTCACCATGCAATCGTATTGCGTTCCACTGCTCGTAATCGACTCTCTAACCAGCTAGGCGGAAGGCATCGGTGCTTTGGCACGACCTCGCAAATATACCATTCCATCTGACCACGCTATCATGCTCTTCTTCAGTCTCGTACTCGTGGGTATATAACAAGTTGGAATAATTAGTGATTGGCCTCTGTGTCTGTCAAGTCCGCACAATGGCAATTCCTAAACTAGTAAATCTAAACCCTATACAAAAATTAACTCTTATATGCGCTCAGATATCCAATGTGTACATGAATAAGTTTTTCACGAAGTTCATAACTGACTGTGAAGAATTTATATGACAGTTGCCTAACATAATAACAGTTTACACAGTCTGACACAAACCCAATTATCAACTCCATATTATGTCATGAGAATACTTAAAGATTTCACACTTGAAGATATAAATTTTTCACCGATTTGTTTTTAATCGGTATATAAGATTAAATATACAGGGGAACAACGATTACATCCAGTTTCCAATGTGTTCAGTCTTCGGATAACTGGTAGTGAATAGTACTCCATGTGCTCTCTATAGTTGGGCAACCACTGCATTCACCGTCTACACACTTACCATTCCATATGAGATCCCATCCAAGATTCTCAGATTGCACACCAAACACATCAAAATTTATTCACTGAACTGAAATATACCGTGTTACATTTTTCTAACTTCCTTTAATTCAAGATATGATTTAGCCATCATTCATTGTCAGAGGAGAGTATTTCTCTTCAAATCCAACTTGGTTTATTTCACAGAATAAATGACATGGTAATAAAAATAGTTCTATAGAAGTTTACTAAAATATAGTCAAAAGAAATTATTATAAAGTCTCATCATCAATCACCATCAACGGGAGAAATTTAAAGGAAGTAACCTCCTTCACCTATCTAGGCGAGGCAGCATCGTTTCAAATACAGGTGGCAGCATAGACAAGGATGTCAAAGCAGCCAGGATCGGAAAAGCAAGACAGGCGTTCACTAGCCTGAAACCAATGTGAAGATCTTCTGCACTCCACTCAGAATGTGGAACAACATCAGGATTTTCAACACCAACGTCAGTCAAATCAGTGCTTCTGTATGGCTCAGAGATTTGGCGCGTTATGAAAGGGATTTCCAATAAACTACAGACACTCATCAACAACTGCCCCAACGCTGGATCGCTACTGAAGATCACATGGATTACCAGAATAAGCAACAAGCAGCTCTGGGAACGAACCAACGAAGCAAGAACCTATCACCCAACAAATATGCACTAGAAGGAAGTGGAGGTGGATTGGGCATACACTGAGAATGCCGACTAGGGACATGACGCGTCAGTCCAGGCCGTCGAGTGGAACCCCGATGGGAAGCGACGAGTTGGGCGTCGGTGCCGAGGGTGACATGGAGGAGATGGTGTGAGGAGGAAATGAGAGCTTGTGGGCTGTGGTGGAGCCAGGTTCAAAAGATTTCAGAGAAGAGAGTGGAGTGGAGACATGCTACTGAAGCCCTATGTTCCATTAGGAACCCAAGGGACTAATAATATAATAATAATCACCAATCTGGCATACGTAAAGGGGTAAAGCTTGAGCGGCGTGGTAGACTACATTTCTTTTCAAGTCTGTTTATGAGAAATGTCAAACAGTGAAGGAACAGTATCGTTTACTGGATAACGTTTCAGATACAATTTATTGTCCATAGTCATATCACGTAACTACACAACGTTGAGACACTTTATATGGCTCTATTCTTCTCTTCTTCTCTCTAACAAGGGTCGTAGAATTTTCCATATATCTGGGACAAGTGCAGAATCATTTCCATTACCACATGTAGTTCGTGTTGATTCGATAAACAAAGATTTGGTTATCAATCTCTCCCGCACTCCACCCAACTAAGTTAGTTTTCAATACTGTCACTCTATCTCACCCTATTGTGTGATTGCGTGCAGAGCTATAGCCGACCACTTTTCTCAACTTCTTATCTCATTAGGATTTACTAATCTTGATTTAGATAAGCTTTTGTGCTCTGTTATTCTAATCGACCCTGGTCGACTACTTTCACCTATGTACTTGACCTCGCAATCATTGCAAGCGATTTGGTAAACTAGATTATTTTGCTCAATTGCATCGATAGGATTTTTTAACCCACAAAGCTTGTTTCCAATCGAGTTTGTTGGCTTAAATACCAATTTAATCCCAACCAGTCCTGTTGAGAATTCTTCATAAACTACTATTAGTAGTAGAATTGTTATTAATAACATCTGTATTACTACTACTGCTGATATTTTTCTTTCGAATGCTTATGAACTTATTGATAAACTTGAGTGGTTAATTATCGAGAAACAAAGTATTCTTGATGTGTTAAATTTCTTGTCGTAGATTTTCTGCCCCACTAGCAAGCTTTTTAGCCTTATAAGATAGGTGAAAGTAGTCGACCAGGGTCGATTAGAATAACAGAGCACAAAAGCTTATCTAAATCAAGATTAGTAAATCCTAATGAGATAAGAAGTTGAGAAAAGTGGTCGGCTATAGCTCTGCACGCAATCACACAATAGGGTGAGATAGAGTGACAGTATTGAAAACTAACTTAGTTGGGTGGAGTGCGGGAGAGATTGATAACCAAATCTTTGTTTATCGAATCAACACGAACTACATGTGGTAATGGAAATGATTCTGCACTTGTCCCAGATATATGGAAAATTCTACGACCCTTGTTAGAGAGAAGAAGAGAAGAATAGAGCCATATAAAGTGTCTCAACGTTGTGTAGTTACGTGATATGACTATGGACAATAAATTGTATCTGAAACGTTATCCAGTAAACGATACTGTTCCTTCACTGTTTGGCATTTCTAATAAACAGAATAAAATGGAATCTAGCATACACTTCGTTCGCGGAATAATGAATGATGACTTATCTCCGATGGTGGTAAACACTGTAGTTCTTCTAAAGTTGTTTTTATCAAAACGTGATATCGTCTGGTGAATCACTGAGGGCCCAAAATGAGAGAAAACCGCTGTTGGGTATCTCCAGATTTTCGGCAATTCTTCTTCTGCTATCAATCAACGGTGAGAGATGCTTTGAAACTGATCAACTGATTCTAAAATCAATTAATAAGATACGTCTTATCAAACGGATATCTTGATACTGGGTGACTACTGCAGGTGAAATAAGACTTTAGACTGCAGCGGGATTCGGACCAGCGACCATCAGGTTTCCTGTCCGGTACTCTACCAAGTGAGCTATGAGGCACGACTGATGATACTGAACGCATTTCACACTTTTCTATTTGACGTTAATGCTGTTAATACGTGTTTCTGACTAGTTGCTGCTGAAAGAACACCTATTGATTGGTCACTGTCTGTTTCATATGTTAATTTTAAAGTCATATAGCTTAAAAATCAACCAATGAAACTTCATAATCAACTCCATGATCCTAATGTCCAGTTTCAGTTAATAAAATGTGATTCGCAAATAAGCATTTTTGATGATAACTTTTGAGCTGATGAAAATATATTCAATTCTTACATAGAAAAGCGATAATATTGGAGAAATTCTGCATTGTTGTACTTCGAACTTTAACAGCTCACTCATGTCAAAATTAACAAAAAGCTCACTTGCCCCTGATTGGTCGTTTCAAGGTAACCAGTGGGTCCCTGTAATATTCTTTAGTAAACAAATTCCAATAGAACAGGAATCATTATGAAACTTAACAGTTTATACAGGTTACGTTTAAGTCTTAAATTGTCTGATAGGCGACTCAGACCTTCTCGAAAGCGTTCAGAGGGCAGCCACCTGCATGATTCCTGCGATGGCTGGCCTGACCTACGAAGATGGACTTAAGGAGCTGAACATCTCTTTATCCAACCGCAGACAGAGAGCAGATCTAATAATGCCGTACAGGATTCTAAGAAATGACTTTGGACCTGATCTATCTTATCTTTTCCTTCCCACTAGGTTGGGACACCTCAGAGGATATAGCAGGAGAATACAAATGCAAAGAACGAACATAGTTTGGCTTTTGTGTTGAGTAATCAACTCCTGGTACCAAATCCCATAAGTGGTGTTCACATGATCAATTGACCCGTTCAAAAGGGGATTAGACAGGCATATAAATCTATTGGAAAATGAGTAATATAAGCTCACAGACTTCTATCCTCAAACAACAAATCTGAATCATAATCCCTAGTTTCCATCCAGATTTTTACATCATCAACGTAGAGAACCAGAGGAGATTTCGTTATATTTGACGGCTTATTTATATATAGGAGAAATAGCAGGGGACCCAGGACTATGTCTTGTGACACTCCACTCCCTACCGACTCTCAAGAAGAGAGTTCTTTTCATTCCTTACTCTTTATCTCCTACCAACAAGGAACTCCCTAATCCATGCAAGTAGATTGTCGATGATTTCAGAACTTTCCAGTTTCACAAGGAACTTGGGACGAAGTACTTAGTCGAACGCCTTACTGAAAT